CTCTCTCTCTCTCTCTCTCTCTCTCTCTCTCTCTCTCTCTCTCTCTCTCTCTCTCTCTCTCTGCCAAAGGAGTGGAAGGGGAGGGCTGGTGTGTGTGTTGGGGGGTCTGCAGGACCGAATGGAGGCAGCGACATCCAGCCGAGCACCCAGCACTTTTACGCAGAGCTGACAGGCGCCCTGAGGGGGAAAATAAAAAAATAAAAATCAACAACAAAAACGCGGAATATCATGTAGGGGCTGTGCGGGGGGGGTCGCCTCTGAAACAAACCCAAACAGCTACATGTTCGCTCGCTCCTTCTCGCCTCAGTCGGCTCAGAGACAAGTGGGATCTGATCCTCGACTGGATTTCCCTCCTCCTCGCTTCTGAATGGAAGACAGATAGAGCGAGAGAAACAAGCCGGGGGTTGCCTCCCTTTTTTTTTTAAATTGTTAATTTTTTTATTCTCATGTTCTTTTGGACGCGCTGCAACGATTTGCTGCCTGTCGCTGGGTTATCCGAGGTCTGCCCGGCAGCCGCGGCGGCTGCAGAGCCGTCCCTGTCATGGCAGAGGTGGCGTGAAAGGAGGCAGAGAAGACCCCCTTTCAAAAGAAACGAGAAGCGTCTTTTTATTTATTTAGTGCGGATTTAAATGAAGATGGGGCCACCGACTGACTGAGCCGCTGTTTTTGTCAGGTGCGCCGCTGATCCAAATAAACAATTCATAGACTTTCTGTTATATTCCATCTGGTGGGTGGCTAATCAGGATTTACAGCAAGGAGAAGGGGGTTCAGTATATATACATATATTTCTTTTTTTCTTTCTTTTTTTTGGTAAGCAATATGGCTGGTGAATGGGGCTGGGGACGCTGGCACAGGCTCGCCAAAGCTCCTAAATGCTAGCCGAGGCGGATGGCACGGTTCCCCGTGGCAGCGACCGCTCTATGAGGACAAGCGGAATCATCAGCGACATCAACCCGGACTCCTCGATCCTGATATCCAAGATGGAAGACCTCGTCATCCCCTTCTCGTCCGAGGTGCCGTGCGACGACAACGGGCAGCGCATGTGGTGGGCATTCCTCGCCTCCTCCATGGTGACGTTTTTCGGGGGTCTCTTCATCATCCTCTTGTGGAGGACCCTCAAATACCTGTGGACCGTGTGCTGCCACTGCAACATTAAAAACAAGGTATGTTTGGGAGTCTGTGAACATCATTTTTTGTGTGATGTGCTTCATAAATAATCACTGATGCTCCAGCAATTTTAAACCAAATTGGTCAAATATTATTAT